ACTGTAATGATACTAGTGCAGCACTATTTCTACTGCTACAACAATAAGGTACGGAGTATTTTGTTCGTGCGTCAGCAGTCATGCCTGAAAACAGCACTTAAACGGTTTAGATGTAGGCAATACAATATAATAAACAGTCACCTATCGTGGGATCGACCGATAGACTAATCTCAACCATCAAACAGACATATTGCTAACGGTATAATTATATCATTTTTCTGCTGTTCTTTCCAATTATCCACATTTGATGTTTCATAAACGTCGATTCAGCCTTTGATTTGTTTTATTTTTATGATTTCATTTGTTTTCAGGATGACAAAGATTTGGTTCATGAGTTTGTACAAAACGACGGTCTTTCGTGCTTGATTAAAGTTGGAACAGAGTCGGACCAAAATTATCAGAATTACATACTTCGAGGTAAGAAGTATTTATGTATAGTTTTTTACACTTCCTTGTTCTTTGGCTGAATATAGCGGAGACATCTTGATGATCCAGTTTATCCTGTTATAAAACACAATATAATCAGCCAACACCATTCTAACGTTATTTTAGTAAGGTTTTAAGCGTCTTCTCAAACAACACGCTATTCATCTCGCTGATGATTCGTGCTAGGGTTCAAATCCCACTGGGAATAATTAGATATCGCGGAAGGAGGACGGAAGAGGAATTTTATGCCATGTTTCATCAAATGCCGACCTCCAATTTATTTCCAGAGAATGAAACCGTAGAATATTTGTCCCTGTGTTTAACATACGACGTGCAACCGACTAATCCAATTATAATAGTGTCATATTGTAAACTTCCATGAAACTTTTCTCCCGGATTATCTTCGAAGGGCTGAGGTAGGGGCAGTTCATGAAAGACTTCGCCTGACTTATGCGTGATCCCGCATGGGGTAATTCTGCTTCGACCACATTTTCACCGAGAAATACGATTGCTCGATTCCATTTGACTTGGTTTGTCAGGCTTCGAGGCTGCATTTGATTCACTACATCGTCAGGTATTGTCTTGAAATGCTATGTGATATCTGAACACATCGTTTCTGCATTGGAGGAGCTGTATGCATGAACCATCTTTACTCTCAAAGTTGAAGAAGAAATACCTTAATGGGCTATTAACTGCCAAGTTCGCCATGAAGATGTGCTCTCGCCTTTGTTGTTTAACATCGTCCTTGGCTTTCTTCTTTGATGTAGAAAAGAACGAAGATCTCATTCTGAGGGAAGGCGCAGTCAGGTTATTTAACTAGATATCTTGCTGATTTAGAGTTCGCATATGATATAATCCTTGCACAAGTTGTATGGAAAGCCGGCTCTACCGTCTGATGACTTCTGTATGTAATAGCTACGAGAATCTGTCTGTTCCTTAACGTCCGGAAATCAAAAGTTATGACGAATCCATTTGGTACAGGTGATCTACAATGGAACAAAATGGGAAGTCATGGAGGAAGTGGGCGAATTTAAGGATGACAACAGCTGTTCTAACGAAAGACGGTGAATCACTTTTGAACTGTGTATAATAACGTTGGCTTTGACACATAATGTTGGTAGGATTAAACAAAGAGTGACTCCGTTCTTAGTAAATGTGGAGATTAGGAGGGAACGATTGACCTTGTTATATAAACTTGTTGAGTGAGCATAAACCTTTATTCCAACTCACGAGCCACTCGTGTAGGAACCGAAAGAGGAGGCCAGCATGCAGCCTAGACCAACTGTTCCTTCTGCGATTCGGTAACCGACGTCTTATGGCAAGAGTGTAGTAAAGTTGCGATTACAGTCGACATCACAAACTAGAGACGGTCTGCTTTTGCAAATTGCTCAAGATGATGATCACACAAACACCCATGTCATTAACTCTGCTATTCGACACTGTTGTTCTTATAGAAGGCGTCAGTCGAGAGTGTGTTCAGTTGAACAGACCTCTGTATCTATATGGCCTGAACATGGATAATAGCAGTTGTACAAGTATGGGCGCTCTAAGTACTGTGACTATCAGATTAGAATGGCAAAATTAATCAAATGAGTTAATATGATATGATGGTACGTTTGAAATTTTTGAGGATTAAAGATCTGAGGTATTAGCCGATGATTTCAGTACTTGTAATATGAGTTCTTGAGTTCTGCTACTATTTTTAGTATCAACAGAATGAAACTACGAGGTTCGGTGACGACCCTAAAAATTTTAACCGCTAATAATCTTGAGCAAGGAATTCAGGCGTTGCTTCGGAGCAGCCAGCCGAGAAACGGGTAGCAAGCCGTTGATCATTGCTAACAACATGGATTTCACAGTGTTCTAGTGCGATCGTTGTAATACTGGAATAAACTGGAGGTACGGCCATGCTGTCTGATGTGAACGAGTGAGCACGACTTAGGGCTACAGTTCGTCTCGGCATTCCTAAAACTGACTGTTCAGTTTGATGATCAACAGAAATCCTGTTAACATCAGTGTTCCTGTGTTATCGAAAATGGTAGTACAGTTCAAGTACTACATCTAGTAATAAATTAAGAGGACCAGTACTGGTTTTAATTGTAGCAGTAGTTTTAGTAGTAAATTTGTGTCCCTGCTACGCAGTCACTATCTGGATTTGAAATCGTACTACTAGTGGTTCCCCAACTCGTGCTGTACTGGTAATACTCGTAATGCCTCCACTGCTGCCGCTGTTTGTGCCGCACGAAGCGGAGTGCAAACACATGTAAACTTAGTTATGCCAGCAGTTGTGTTGCAATGCCGCCAATTTTTCGGCAGTGGCTGAGAACCAACGTATAGGTTGTAAGTGATTGGCGGACGTTGAGTAATAGTTGATGTTGAACCTAAGAAAAGAGCGTGTCAGCCTAAACCTAAATCTAGGTTCTGTTTTTTATGAGTACTGATTTTATTCAAAGTTGATAAATTTTACTAAGAATCGCTTTATTCTTCTAAATTATTTTTTTTGAAAAGCGGTGACGAAACACTGATCTCGTGGCACTCTGTCTTAGATACATCGTAAATGTGCGCAGTAAGATGTGACAAAGTCTGGAGCTGGTATTGCAATTATCGTAAACTCAATTTTGTGCAGTGTAACGTTCTGTAACTCTACTTAGATTTATTGAGAATTGGGAATCGCTTGTGATGGTTATACAGTAACAAGTACCTACAGTAGTATGAAGTATAGTTTGGTCATAATAATGCGTTTCTTCCTTTTTTAATCCTTTTTTCTCCGATCACTTGATTGTTCATCTAATGTCAACATACTGCCATTTAACGTTTCCTAAGATTAATATTTATTTATTGTCGTTTGTTTAGCTCTCGGCCAGGTTATGCTATACGTAGATGGCATGAACGGCGTCATAGCACACAACGCAACGATTCAATGGTTGTATTCCCTGCTTGGTTCTCCAGTATGTTGCATTCATGCCAGGTTCATCTGTCCGTGTTGCTTCGCACGTTCTTTATTTTCTAGTTTCGTCTTGTGGTTAAAACTGCTTTAAAGTTATTACTCGTATTCGTGGAATATGCCGAGTCGAACTCGTTGCTGTTGCTGGCGGCGGTGTCGATTGTCGACCGCGATCGACGTAAGTTTTCCTCGTCTTGTCGTCGGAATGTAATTGTTTGAATGAAGGTGCTACAAACTGGTCAAATGTCATGGGTATTATCAACGATCGAGACACTGTGGATCCGGAATTGCTGGTGTTCGCCATGACTCTGATCAACCAGACTCTGAACGGCATTCCTGACCAGGATACGTACTACGATGTGGTGGACGCTCTCGAGGAGCAGGGTATGGAGGAAGCGATATCGCGCATGACGAACCTGGGTAGCAGGGAGTTGAGGGAGCAGTGCTCGATTTACGAGTCGGTGTTGAGGAACGAAGATGAAGATGACTCTTCGATCCAAAACATCGCTGTCGCCAGAGGAACCGCCATGGAACCATCTTTGAACAAGTAAGATCTCGGTGTTTGCCGGAATGATGTAGTTCTCTGACGGCGTATGCGCGGTTTAGAAGCACAAACCGTTCGAGGACGGGCTCGGATGAACGACGAAGCGTTCGCAAATGGTCGACCGACAAGACTGCCGTCGATGACCGGGTTAAATTCTCGCCCGTTCAAAACGGTGGCGAACAGCCAGTGCCGGAAAGCAGACCGAAAAGGAAGGTGCAAACCGGCAGAATCAAGGAGCTTATCAAAGCCACCGAGACTCAGGCAAAATCCGGTAGCAGGAATCAGCTTTATGTAGTATTATGACATTACTCAACCACTGTTTAGTTGAAAACGAAAAAACAAAGACGCTGAACAGCCGGCAGTCGTCGACGGACTCGCCGTCGTCGCCTTACGATTCGAAACAGGTCCCCGGTTTACCAGCCAATAAGCGATTGACCATGGATTTACTATACAAAAAGTCTTCCACCGACCAAACAAGGGAAGCCGCCGAAACCGCCGAAGCCAAGGGACCAAAACCCCTATCCACATCGACGATGGCGGCCCCTCCTGCTCCTCCCCTTCCGATCTCTCTTCTCTCCGCGACGACGACGACGGCGGCAACCGGCAATGAAGTGAACGACAAGAGAACGAAGATCGGCGCCGTCCATGCTCTGGCCGAGAAGTATCACGTTGACAAGGCGGTGGACTCGGCGGCGGCAGCGGAACAACAGCCAAAAGTGACAGCCACGGGCGATTCCGAAGAAACCCCTCCCGAAAACACGTTCGCAGCCGCGCTCAGCAAAGCCCGCAAAGGAATGGACAAGAAAATCGCCACTAAGGAGCCGGTCGACACCCGAAAGGAGAGCGACATTCAGTGGGAGAAAGCAGCACAGAGTCTGAACAGACCGCTGGTTATCAATGACCTGGACTTCACAGAGCTCTCGGAGGGCGACGACGCCGACCCTCTGAAACTGTCGCTAATGGCGCAACAGAACATGTCACCGAATACCGTCGCCAGGAATCTTGTCGCTGGCTTGACACCGCCAC